TATGGTCCGGATCTCTGGGGGTAGCTGATTCCAAAGAGTCAGAGCAGCTACAGAGAAGGCTGTCCTCCGGGGGCCCGCCAGCCAACACTGTCTGGCTGACGGCATCTGAAGGAGGCGCAATCTGTGGGATCTTACTGGCCGCTTCTTATTCCTGTTATCTTGTACATGAGTGAAAACCTGACTAACTAAATTAATAAATTCCTCCAACAGTGTAAGTAAACAGTGGCCGAAACCCATTTTTAAATAATCAAACATTGAATCGAAAAGAAAAAGAAAAACTCCTTACACTGGAAGATCCAAACTTAGCTCCTGCAAAGGTTGCTCCATGTAGGAAACTTCACTTAATATATACATTATCTGAGATAGCATTCCTCCTATGAAAAGATCACCCGATTGATACCGCTGGTGAGGAACGGGGAAAGGGCTTGTTGCTGGGCACTTCATTTTAACTAGACAATATGCTGTAGAAAGACTTTTGAGTTGGCTTATGATAGCAGACAGAGAGGATTCTTCATAAGTGGAGATTCTTCATAAGTGGAGATTCTCCTGCGGTCAATCTGCCTGAGGAACAGGTTGGACTAGAAGACTTCCAAGGTCCCTTCCAACTCGGCCATGGGCTGCAGTCTAACTAAAGTCAGCATCGTGAAGGTCAAGAGAACATCAGATCACAATGTTAAACCTGTTCTACAGATCTGATCTCCCAACCGCACAATAAATAGACAACATTCTTAACCATTGAAATGGAGAATCTGTTCCCAACCCAACAGCCTTAAACGACACCCACAAAAGAATTTATAACCAGTGTTGGTCATGGATCGAGCTCTCAGTTGTATAAAGGAAATGCATTTTACCCTGTAATTATCTCCAATTGTCACCCAAGGTATCACTTCATTTTCATTATAAATCATTTTTGTTGAACCTTCAGATCTCCGGCGTGTTTATTGGCTTGATAAAAAAAAAAAACTAGGAAAAGGCAGATGGCAGGCTTGTAAAATAGAAGGAATGTGTGACAAAAGGAGAAAATGGACAGGGGGAAAAGAAGAGTAGATGTTGAGGTCAACATTTTCTGAAATCTTATTTTTGCTTGTTTGGCATGAAGGAGCAGAGGTGACTTGAGTTGAGATCTGTTTCGGCGGGGGAGTAATAATAACATTGTTAGTATCACAGTGGAATATTTCTAATTATAGTTATTGGCCCATCTCTCTCAGGTGCTCACTGTCTTTCAGAAGCAAATATAAAAACTTTTTAAATTTCTTCTGTTCAGAAAGCCAGATCCCAATATCAAGAAGTATATTGGGGGGGGGGGAGATGTTAACTCTACTCTTCCTGGTCTTCTTTTCAAGCAAGCATGTTTATGGCATGCTTGTCATCATCACCTCCATTCCCTGATTTAGACATGTCCCCAGCAGCTAAATAATTCATTCTTCAATGCAATGAAGGGTCATTTTTTATGGTTTATTAGTTGCTAACCTGGTGTTGCCTGGGTATTTATTTATAGGGGGAAAATGTCCGGACCAAATGTAATTAATAATGTTGGATTTTCCCCCTTAGCAGAGAAAGCTCCCTTGTGGAGTACTGTGAAGCTGTTGCCATGGCAAC